CCTCAGCAAAAGCGAGGTGCTAAGCAACTTAGTGAGACCCTCTCTCTAAATAAAATACAAAAATAGGGCTGGAGGTGTGGCTCAGTAGTCGAGTGCCCCCTGTGTTCAATCCCCAGTAACCTCTGCCTGCAAAAAAGTTAACTGTGATGGAGTAGTTTTAGTTCCAGGTTCTGGGAGGAACACCTCAATGCATCCTTCCTAAACTCACAGGTCTTACAAGGGTATGAAGTCAGAGGCTCAGAGACCTGTTCTTCCAGTTTTCTCACTAAATCAGCATATGTTCTACTTTAGGTGGGACACTCATTAGAAACCTGTTTCAGGAATTCTCTCCTTTCCCTACTTACAGCCTCATGAAAGAGAAAAACCTGAGACATGAAGTAAAGTTGGATGGGATCCTGGACCGAGTGCAGTAGAAAGAAGGGGAGAAGGATGATGAGTGTGGTCTTATGTGAAAGAGGGAAAAAGAAAATCAACTCACCAGCTGGGGTGGATAGCAGAAGTGATAATGTAGGGAACACCACACTACAGGGGAGGGAATGAGAGCAAGAGTCATGGAGCAGCCGGGGCCTCTTTATTTAAAGAAAACCCGAACTTTCCAAGGCATAGTTCTGAAATGGGCAGCTCTGGATGAGAGGTCATGGGACAGCAAGACTTTTCACCTGAGTCCCACTTGCCTTTGCTTCTTAGAGTTCTTTAAGGGTTGCTGCACCCTAATGTATGCTGTACACCCCAGCACCCACCTGACCTCTGCCCACCTGGAGGGTCTCCTTAGAAGCTCTTCTGGAATTTGATCCTCCCAGGTTTTGCCTACACAGGTGTGGGGATGTCATTTCCTCAGTAGGCATCAGAGGAAGGGGGCAAATGAGCCAGCTACAAGGGAGGGGTGGTTGGTATGGAGATACCTAAGGGAATGCAGGATGCATGCTGGGGAGGTGCTGGGAAGGCAGTAGCTGGGGCCAGACAATGGGGTCCATTGCTCAGAGAATGCAGCCAGAGGGAGCCACTGGAGGATCTCAGTGATGGCACAGTGATGGCTGGAGGAAAGGGCGAGTGGACTGGTATGGCAACAGAAGTGAATTGGGGGTGGGTTTGTGGAAGGCGAAGGATGGGCAGAAGGAAATAGGATGGGAACTGGGAGGCTCTTGCTTCATCCAGGGAAGATGAAGGGTAGGGCAGGTTGAAGAGAGCAGACTCAGGAATTAGTGACAAGGAGGTACAAAAACTTAGTACATAGTCAGTGCCACACATAGACGGCCTTATTAGAGTGGTAGAATGAGTAACTCAAATGGTTTTCTCTCCTTACCTTTCCTTTTCTCCCTCTCTTCTAAGATAAAAGAACCAAGCAATCTTAAATTAGAAACTTCAGGAAGCATAAAATATTGTGTGAAAAGGCGCTTGAGAACCCATCTGTTGAAACTGAGACTTGCTGCAATTAGGAAGCCAAGGCTTCAGGTTACTTGTGCATAACTTGGCCAAGTTCACACATCCTGCTTAAGGCAGGACAAGTGCTAGAGTAAGGGACACTGCCTTCTAAAATAAGGGCTATTTCTTCTGGGAAGTTGGCTTAATCTAGTGATTCACACATAAAGTAAAGTTGGGTGAGATCTCAGGCCAAATGCAGTAGAAAGAGCCTCCTCTGGCTCTGGAATTGGCCTAAAGTTCAAACCAGCAGTATCCTAGTTTTGTGATGGGGGCACAGTTCTTACCTTGCACCTCTTTTTCTTCACCTGTGAAATGGGGCTACAGATGGCTCCTCTCCCGCTGGGTTGTGACTAGGAGTGATTGACGTCAGTATTTTACATGGTGCCTGACAGGCAGTAAGAGCTCAGAAAGTGTGGGCTCTGGGTCTCAGTGATCAAGAGATGGAACCGGACAGGAGCCAAAGATGTCTGAGGTGGGCAACTGTAGAATCTTAGTTCAGTGAAGGCTGCAGAGGAGCAGCTTAGGGTCCGGTGGCTGGTGAGTGAGGTAGCTTTCCAGGGCCAGGCAAGAGGATAGAGTAGCAGCATCATGTCTTGGAAGATTCCAGCAACTCACCAAGTGAAGAGTT